TGAAGAATGAGTATTCTGTTGCTGAGTGAACTCATCTGTGTATGTCTGGTAGGTCCTATTCATCTATAGTATCGTTCGAGCCCTCTGTTTGCTTCTTGATCTTCTGTCTGGCTGTTGTATGCATTATTGAAAGTGAGTTATTGGGCTGGGCCAGCTGACTCATGCCTGTAATCTCAGCACTTTGGGAGGCCAAGGCAGGTGGATCACTTGAGGTCAGGAGTTCAAGATCCCCCTGGCCAACGTGGTATATCCCTGACTCTACTAAAAATAGCTGGGCATGGTGGCATACACCTGTAATCTCAGCTACTCTGAGACTGAGGCACGGGAATCACTTGAATTCAGGAGGTTGCGGCTGCACTCCAGCCTGGGAAACAGAGATTGTCTCAAAAAAAAAAAGTGAGGTGTTGAAATTTCCTACAATTTTCATAGAACTGTTTCTCTTTTCATTCTATCAGTGTTTGCTTCATATATTTAGGAGCTCTGAGGTGCGTTGCATGTACCTTTATAACTGTTGCATCTTTTTGGTGAATTGACTGTTACTATCTCTGATAACAGGTTTTGACCTTAAGTCTATTTAGTCTGAGATGAGCCTAGCTCCTCCTCCTTTATTCAGTTACCGTTTGCATGGAGTATCTTTTTTCACCCTTTCACTTTCAACCTATGTGTAAACGTCTTACAGTCTTTTGATTGTGGAAATAATTTGCATTTTTTAAAGATTATCATCTGATGAAACTTACTAGCATGGTGGGTGACTGTGCCATGAGGCCCACAGCCAAGGACTAAGGTGAGCAGTTGCTCTGGGAGGAACCCAGCACACGATTTAGAGGGCTTCCCCGCCGGGCGCGGTGGCTCACGCTTGTAATCCCAGCACTTTGGGAGGCCGAGGCGGGTGGATCATGAGGTCAAGAGATCGAGACCATCCTGGTCAACATGGTGAAACCCCGTCTCTACTAAAAATACAAAAATTAGCCGGGCATGGTGGCGCACGCCTGTAGTCCCAGCTACTCGGGAGGCTGAGGCAGGAGAATTGCTTGAACCCAGGAGGCGGAGGTTGCGGTGAGCCGAGATCGCGCCATTGCACTCCAGCCTGGGTAACAAGAGCGAAACTCCGTCTCAAAAAAAAAAAAAAGAGGGCTTCCCCATGCCACTCTGTGGACTGTTTTCTGCATGGCTTATGGTTTGTTTTCTCTCTCATTTCCTTCCTTCTGCCTGCCTTTGTGTTTGATTTTTTTGTGTGACACACTTAGAATTCCTTCTCATTTCCTTTTGTGTACATTCTGTAGATATTTTCTTTGTAATTACCATAAGGATTATTTAAAACATCCTGAAGTTACAGCAATCGATTTTAAACTAGTAAGTTCAATCCCATACAAATACTCTACTGCTTGACAGCTCTGCCCCGTCCTATGTTGTTGTTGTTGTTACAAAGTATATCTTGCAGAGAGGGTCTCACTCTGTCACCCAGGCTGGAGTGCATTGACTGTCATAGCTCATTGTAACCTGAAGTGATGCTCTATAGCTGAGACTACAGGTGCCCGCCACCATGCCTAATTTTTTTTTAAATAAATCACATATTTAACATAGGCTTACGGTTACACATCTCTTTTAAATCTAATAAAATAATTAAAATCAGAGATATGACAGGTCTTTCTATGTGCCTTCAGATGTCCATCTAGCATCGTTTTGACTTGAAGGACTCCCTTTAGCATTTCTGCAGGGCAGGTCCCAATGTAATGAACTATCTCAGCTTTTTTTTTTTTGTCTTTGAATGTCTTAATTTCTCTGGTCAGGTGCTAGGTGGAAGGATCACATGAGGTCAGGAGTTTTAGAGCAGGCTGGCCAACATGGTGAAATCTCATATCTACTAAAAATACAAAAACATGCTGGCGGACACCTGTAATCCCAGCTACTTGGGAGGCTGCACCACTGTACTCCAGCCTGGAGGACAGAGCAAGACCCTATCTCAAAAATAATAATAACTGTCTTAATATTCTTTTTTTCTTATGAGAGTTCATAAGATGCCTTTGTTTTGTAACTTACAACCACCTTTAAATTTGTACTTCAGAAGTTAACTGTAATTGGTGACTGCTTTTCATAAATACTTCACTGATGTCCAAGAGAGGGGAAGAATTTCGCCCTTGCTTTAAAATAAACCTGGCCAGACACGGTGGCCCACATCTGTAATTCCACCACTTTGGGAGGCCAAGGCAGGTAGATCATGAGGTCTGACGTTTGAGACCATCCTGGCCAACATGGTGCAACCCCCATCTCCACTAAAAACACAAAAAAATTAGCTGGACATGGTAGCACGTGCCTGTAATCCCAGCTCCTCAGGAGGCTGAGGCAGGAGAATTGCTGAAACCCGGGTGGAGGTGGTTGCAGTGAGCTTAGATTGCTCCACTGCACTTCAGCCTGGGCAACACATCAAGACTCCATCTCAAAAAAGTTAACCCCAAGAGGAAGGGAGAGGACCTTAACTGCAGATAATAGTCCATTGTTACCCTGTGGCTATAAATCTTCTGAGTTGCCTGTCCTTCCAGGTGTTCTGTTAATCGCTGTAGTAGCTGACAGTTTTGTATTTACATGGTCAGAAAAATGAGTGATTCAGCTTGACTCCCAGATTCTCCAAGCTTCCCTTGGAGCCACACCACCTGCTGTCTTGGCATTCATGAGTCCAATGCTGCTTCCTGAGAGGATCTGGTTGGTAGACCGTGACCTTGATTCCTGCCTCTAAGCCTCGCTTTATTCTCCGCAGCCACCACCTTTTTGGTACTACAGCAGTGCTCAGTGGATGCTGAGATCACAATCCGGCCATTTGGTTGTTCAACTAATGCATTATGCTGCGGAGTCCCTGCAGCTCACCAACTGCTGCCAGAACTCACCGGAGGTCAGGTGTGTAGCACTACCTTGTTTCTCTATGGCTGGGGGTGCAAACATTGTTCATGCGTTTACTTCCCATTTTTTACTTTGGAGGTTTTGTTTTCTGAGACAAGGTCTCACTCTGTCATGCAGCCAGGAGTGTAGTCATGGCTCACTGCAGCCTTGACCTCCCGGATTCAAGCCATCTCGCCTCAGCCTCCCAAAGTGCTAGGAATACCAGCGTGAGCCACTGCACCTGGCCTATTTTTGAGCTTTAAGTTCTTCATGTATTCTGGAGATGAGTCCTTGGTCTGATAGGTGGTTTGTAAACATTTTTCCCAATCTGTAGCTTATCTTTCCATCTTCCTAATAATTGAGTCTTTCAGAGAGCAAAAATGTGGTCTCCCTTGCAGCTACTCTGCTGCTGTTGCAGGAGAGCAGACCCAGACAGTATGTAAATGAACATGTGGATGTGTCCCTTTAGAAATCTCTTTACCACAAATGGACACTTGACAGATCAGTGCTGAGAGGTTATTTCATTAAGCAATAGTTGAGCTGGGTATGAACCCTAACCTCATCCTTACTTTCTCTTACTCCACTGTCTTCTGTTCCTGCTGGTGGGAAAGCAATTGTCAACACGTTCCTCCTCCTTTCTACCCTCCTCAGTAGCTTTTAGCACCTGTTCTTTCTTTGGATGGCTCTAGGTATGGATGGATTTATTGTATTGGGGATTGTGCCTCCTGACTCTAAAGGGTCCTGGGTCCTGTCTCTGTTTTCATTCTGGAATTTTTCTTGAGACAGACTCTCATTCTGTCACCAGGCTGGAGTGCAGTGGCAAGATCTTGGTTCACTGCAACCTCCACCTCCTGGGTTCAAGCATTTCTCCTGCCTCAGCCTCCCGAGTAGCTGGGATTACAGGCACACACATTCACGCCTGGTTAATTTCTGTATTTTTAGTAGAGACAGGGTTTCACCATGTTGGCCAGGCGGGTCTTGAACTCCTGACCTTAGGTGATCCACTCATCTTGGCCTCCCAAGTGCTGGGATTACAGGCATGAGCCACCACACTTCTTTGAGACATGTTGGATCTTCTCATGTCATCTGGCCTTTGCCATATTTTCCAATTGATGAATTTTCTCTTCTGCTGTTGAATTTGTTAAGTTTTAAATGTCTATGGATGGCAGCCACTAACTCTGGCATCTGAAGCTCTTGGAAGTCCACTCCTCTTGTTGCCACTGACTTCTATGCCCTTTCAGTGGGGCTTTGGCTGTGGCAACCATATGCAGCACTGGCTAAAGAATCTCAAGGTAGCCCGTGTTAGAACTGAATTAGAGGTCTACCCTGGTAGTGGGGACAAACATTTGCTCACAGAAGTCATCTTGTGTGTTGATGATGATTTTTGTGGTATGAGAGCAGAGGGAAAACGGGGAATGGGCATTTTCCCTAAACGGTGGTGGACATCCAAAGCCCTAGTGAGGCTGGGCGCGGTGGCTCACGCCTGTCATCCCAGCACTTCGGGAAGGCTGAGGCAGGCGGATCACCAGAGGTCAGGAATTCATGACCAGCCTGGCCAACACAGCAAAACCCCATCTCTTCTAAAACTATGTGCCTATATTTTTGGCAGGCTGAGGCAGGAGTCTTGCTTGGACCTGGGAAGTGGAAGTTGCAGTGAGCTGAGATTGCACCACTACAGTCCAGCCTGGGCAGATCATAAATTAGAGATACAATTGACTCACAGTTCTACAGGCTGTACAAGCACAGCTCCAGCATCTGCTTGGCTTCTGGTGAGGCGCTGGGAAGCTTACAATCATGGCAGAAACAGGAGGGGTACAAAGAGAGAGGAGGTGCCAGGCTCTTTATAAACAACTGCTCTCATGTGAACTAATAGAACAAGAACTCACGCTTCACCAAACGGAGGGTGCTAAGCCATCCATGAGGCATGTACCCCCTCTAACAAACGTGAGATTTGGAGGGGACACACATCGAAGTTGTGTCAGGCCGTAAATGTTTTGTTTTGACTCTTGGCTCCTTGAATGACAATTATTTGTCCTCCCTGGCAAAAAAGAGAGATGGGCTTTCCCTCCGGCTGGAACGCAGATGCCACACAGGGGGCAGAGTGCCAGCCGGCTAGGGCAGCTTACCACACTGTGGAGGAGGGGCCAGGGGCACGAAGCTGCGGGCACACAGGTGGATGTAGGCGGCCGCCAGAGTGCAGGCAGGCTGGAGCTCCCGGGTGCCACAGGGGTCCTGCACACACAGGCTGAGGAATGGTGCAGGGTCCACCTGAAATCAGGGCCACCCACTCACTGTCTGTAGCCTAGGCCCCTCCTCCATGCCACTCCGCAGGGTAGACTGGGGAAAGGGCTTTCTGTGTCCCGGGGTCCAGGCTCACACTCACCACCCGGAAGCAGTTTCCCAAGCTGGAGCGGGGGTCCTCGAAGAAGGCCCGGCAGGTGGGGCTGTGTCCGGGGCAGGCCTGCTGAGTCTTCTCAGTGGCCCTGCAGTCACCATCCACCTGGCAGGACAGACACAAGACTCAGGCCTCCCGCTGGACCATGTGGCTCACCACATAGATTAGCCTCAGCAGGAGACTCCCCCCAACCCTGGGCCTGCAAAGACCCTGCAGAGCCAGCAGGCCACCTGCCTCTCCTGGGACTCTGCAGCGAGCAGCCCTCAAGAGCCTCAGCCAGAGGGAGGAAAGGCAGGTACATCTGCTCACCTGCCAGGCCACGCTGAGCCCCTCCAGGCTGTGGGCCACAGAGCCATCCGGCAACATCAGCTCATTGCCTGCTTCATTGTCGTTGGTGCCCAGAAGGCCAGCAGATATGCCTGTGGGGAGGAGGGAAGCTGAGGAGGTCCCGAGAGCCTGTGATCCTCCCCCAGGCACCTGTATGAGACATGAGGCTGAGGCACACCGAGGATTGGTAGAATCTCGCCACCTCCACCCCAGAGCCCAGGGCTCTGGCTCTAAACCCTCATCAGAAGAGGGAGAGAAAGCACAGGGACTAAGGACAGCGTGTGTCCCTCCGTCCCCTCCCCATGTCCTCAGCTCAAGGGGCGGGAATCCAGGCCTGCCCTTTGTGTTCCTTGGCAGAGGGTCCACAGAAAGGCCAACTCCATCCTGGAGCCACATATCCCAGGGATGGGGGCAGAAAGCCCTGGGCCTCGGTGCCATCATCTCAACCACAGTGGCCGCCAACAACCCAGGGACCTGTCGCACTGGAAGCTGAGAATGGTGCATCCTGAAGAGGCAAGTACAACCCCACTGGAGCCCAGACTCACCGTGTTGCCAGAGGCCCAGAGTCAGGCTGCAGAGGCCGGTGGGAACATCACAGGAGATGGAGACCCCGTCCTCACTGGCCAGCTCAATCCTGGGGATGTCCTTTCTTTTCATGGCAAGAGGCAGCTGGAGGTCTGGACAGCTCTCCCCCGGCAGGGAGGAGTTGTACAGCCTGTAGGCCTGTGGACGAGAGGGGGTAGACAGGAGGGCTGACCCACAGCCAGGGGACAACCTTGAAAGGGCCATCCCCCCAGGCGACCTGCCACAGGCACAGATCTCGGGGGAAGCTGGAGCCTTTCCTCCTCACCTGCAGGCTGGGGTAGAAGATGAGGGTCAGGTGGTTGAGCTCCACAATCAGGGCCGTGAGCCCCGAGCCTGTCCGACTCAGCATCAGGGAGAATGTGTTGTGAGCAAAGTCTTGGGCCAGCAGGATGCTGCCACACTGGGCGCTGAGGTCCCACACCCGGCCGTCAAAAGTCACCACATGCTGGGCCCCGGCCACCAGGGCATGGTCTGGGGAGGAGCAGCCCCAAAGGCAGGGTGAGTGGAGCTAGCTCCACCCACCTCAGGGGGAGCCCGATGCCTGCTGGGCACCCCAATGCCTAGAGCCCCGGCTTAGCCTGCCCTGAGACCAGGAGTCCTCCCTCCCCTGGTGCAGCAGCCAGAGGCCCAGCAATCCCCCACCTGCTTCAGGATGACATGAGCTTAAGGGCTACGGCCAATTCAGCCCTAACGAGGAATGGAGTCCTGAGACCCGCTACAACACTGTTGTGCTAAGTAACAAAGCCTGGCTCAGAGACCGTGTATTTATACTTCCATTTACAGCAGATGTCCAGAGCAGGCACAGCCATGGACACAGCAGGCAGACTGGTAGCTGCAGGGTTTCATTTTAGGATAAAAATGTTTTAAAATCGATTGTGGTGAAGCATGCACAGCTCTGAATAAACTAGAAGCCACTGAATTGTGCGCTTGAAATTGACACATCAGCCGGGCACCGTGGTGCAAAGCCATCCCAGCGCTTTGTGGGGCTGAGGCAGGAGGATCACTTGAACCCAGGAGGTCAAGGGTGCAGTGAGCCGAGATTGTACCACTGCACTCCAACCATGACAACAGAGTGAGACCTAGTCTCAAAAAAAATAATCATACAAGTCATCCATTTAATCTCAAGGAAGCTACTGGTGGGGGGGGAACATTGACTGTTTAAGTGGACGGCCAACAGCGTCCTGCAGACCTGCCGTGTTCAGGGTAGGGAAGAGATGACCTGTGAAGGAGCAGGTCTGACCAGTCCAGCCAGCGCGGCCCCTGAGCTGTGCCTTGGGGGTGCTCGTGCCTGTGGCGGGAAAGCACCATCTATCATGCACAGCCAGACACCTGATGGCCAGGGCCAGCAATCTGAGGGAGGCACTACCCGCCCCGTGGTCAGATGTCAGAACTGAGGGGCACAGAGAAGCCTATGGTCAGTCACACAGAACTTGAACATCAGGCTGTTTTCTACAAGATCAGTGTGCTGCTTAGACCTGACTATACCCACCCTTCTAGGGAGCCCTAGGCCTCCGTGTGAGTCCCACACGGATAAACCGCTTCTCGCCAAGCCTGGGTACTGTGGCTCCCCCACAGACATGAGGGGCTCCCTCATGTGTTAAGAACCGTACGTGCCCCTTACCCATGTGAGCGAGCCACGTGGTTACCTGCATTTCACAGTGGAGGAAGCCGAGTCCACAGAGGTTAATCACCTGAGCCACACGCAAGCTCCCCAGGAGCCCAGAGCCGGTCATCCCAGCACCGCCCTTGGCTGCAGGTCGCCCCTGACTGCTGAGTCTAATCTCGGTGCCCTTCCAGCTGTAATGGGAGGTCTGCCTGCTGCTCCAGCACAGGCCACAGGGAGGGAGCTGGCCTGAAGCCCTAAACGGCCACTATACTCCTGCGCTGGGCCAGGCCTTATAATCTGGAGAAGAGCAGGATGTGCAGCCTCAGCCCCAGTCCCATAGCACTTTGGGAAGTCCAGTAAGCTCTGGGCCTGGCACCTGCAGAGGCACGAGCCTCTGCAGGCTTCCCTGTGACCCCACAGTACCTGCCCCTGCATGGCCCTGCTGCTGTGCCCACGGGGCAGGGGGCTCCCAAGGAGGAGGGCGGCACAGCCCGGGGCAGGACTCACACTCCCAGGGACCTTGCAGGAGGCGGTGTCTGAGCCGGTAGAACTCCGCCAGCACGTTGGCCCTGGACAGCTCTCGGAGCGGCCGCAGCAGCTTCTCCTCCACCAGGTAGCTGGTCAGCCGGGCCATGTCCAGGGGCTCATCTCCCCAAGGCAGCAGTGGCAACGTCACCACCACGGAGTAGTTCCTAGAGGGAACACAGGACAAGTCGCTATGCGTGGCTGAGCTTTGCTTCCTTTGGCTGCAGAGGGGGAGCTCACAGGTCCACGGGAAGAGCTCTGCCATGGGGAGCATTGGGGTGTCTCTCGGGGAGGGGCTGTCCTTGTTCTAGGAAATCCCATAATGAGGTGGAGGAGGACGGAGGCTGGCATGACAGCAGAGGTAGGGGGTGAGGCTGGGACAGAAACAAGCTGCCCTGTTTTGAGGACACAGATGTCTGATGTCATGCCTGATCTGCCCCCTGGGTCTTGGGCAGCATGGGGCCTGTGTGTGGGGATGCCGAGGACAGGAGCTGGAAGGTGTAGGAAATTGTTTTTGTTTTCTGGGCATGGTGGCACACGCCTGTAGTCCCAGCTACTCGGGAGGCTGAGGCAGGAGAATTACTTGAACCCAGGAGACGGAGGTTGCGGTGAGCCGAGATCACGCCATTGCACTCCAGCCTGGGTAACAAGAGCGAAACTCTGTCTCAAAAAGAAAAAAAAAAGGAATTCCTAAATGAAAACACTTGGAGTTTGCCTGCTGAAAATTTAGCTTGTGGAAATGTAAGAAAAAGATCTAAGTGTTGGCAAAAGATTGCAATAAAGTAAATGATGTGGTTTTGGCTTTCTCAGGGGTGATTTTGCAACTTGAAACATTCCAAAAAGAGTTACTGATCACAAAGTTTCTTTTAGCTTCTAGCCCTGAAATGCTTGGCATCCATAAAGCTCTTACCGATATTTGGATAAATTAAATTTATATTGACATTTTCTGAAAGTTGGCCTGTTTCTAGCTTGTGTGGGTACGTGTAAAACAGAGAACATTTTGAGACATTCAATTTTACAACTGATAGATGCTGACATCAACCTGCCCCTTTCTACACTATATTCTTGAAAGTTGAATCACAATGAAATTTTAAAAATGGATTTTTTTCTCAAAAAAGCAGAAGTTTCTCAAAAAGTTAATTGTAGAATTATCATATGATGCAAAATCTCTACTCCTAGGTATACACCTAAAAGAATTAAAAGTAGGGACTCAGATACCTATACATCAGTGCTCATTATAGCATTATTCAATAGCTGAAAGGTGGAAAAACCCACATGCCCATCTGCAGGTGAATAGATAAATAAAATATGATATATTCATACCATGGAATATGATTCATCCTTTAAAAATAAAATTTTGATACATGCTATAACATGGACGAACCTAGAAAACATTATAGGTGTAATAAACCAGACACAAAAAAAATAATATGGTGGGATTATCCTTATATAAAATATCCAGCCGGGCACGGTGGCTCAAGCCTGTAATCCCAGCACTTTGGGAGGCCGAGGCGGGTGGATCACAAGGTCAAGAGATCGAGACCATCCTGGTCAACATGGTGAAACCCCGTCTCTACTAAAAATACAAAACATTAGCTGGGCATGGTGGTGCGTGCCTGTAATCCCAGCTACTCAGGAGGCTGAGGCAGGAGAATTGCCTGAACCCAGGAGGCGGAGGTTGCGGTGAGCCGAGTTCACGCCATTGCACTCCAGCCTCGGTAACGAGAGCAAAACTCCGTCTTAAAAAAAAAAAAAAAAAATCTAGAATAAGCAAATTCATGGAGACAGAAGGTAGGTTAGAAGTAATCAAGGACCATAGAGGGGGTGGGGGAAATCAGGAGTTATTGTTTCATGGGTCCAGCGTTTCTGTTTGGGGGAAAATGAAAAAGTTTAGAAATAAATAGTGGTGATGGTTGAACAACATTATGAATATAATTAATACCACCAAATTGTATACTTAAAAATACCTTAAATGGCAGAATTTATACTGTGTGTCTTTTACTACAGTAAACAATTTTAAACAAGGTTTCTTCAAACAAGGTTTCTTCAAACTCCTCCTCCAATAAAGTAACAAATACTCCTTGAAGAAAGCTAGGAAAACTTTAAAAAGTAAAATGAAATTAAAGCCACCTGTTCTTCCACCAAGTAGTGATAACATGTGATTAATGTGTTGTACAATTTGCTCTTCTGACCAATAGTATAGATATATGCAGATACACACACACACACACAGCATTATGCCGAGCCTGCGTTTCTCTGCATGTTGTAACAATCAATCAGTAGAATTCAATCTTATCCATGAGCCTTAATTTATTTAAACCTATCAACTATTGTTGGATATGTAAAATGTTTTCCATTTCTTCTCAATTTTAAATAATTTTGTAGTGACCATCCTTGTACAAACATTTTATGAGCATTTGATAATTTCCTTAGGATAAAGTAAAATTGCTGAATCAAAGAAAAATAAATAATAAAAAAAAATTGTTTTTGTTTTTTGAGACAGAATCTCATTCTGTTTTCCAAGCTCGGGTATAGTGGTACAATCTCAACTCCCTGCGACCTCTGCCTCCTGGGTTTAAGTGATTCTCCTGTCTCAGCCTCCACAGTAGCTGGAAATATAGGCACTTGCTGCCACACCAGGCTAATTTTTGTATTTTTAGTAGAGTCAGGGTTTCACTATGTTAGCCAGGCTGGTCTCGAACTGCCGACCTCGGATGATCTGCCCAAAGTGCTGGGATTACAGGTATGAGCCACTGTGCCCAAAAGGTCTAGGAAATGTCTACAGTTGAGGGGAGGAGTAGAACTTTCTCAATATGTAGAGTAGGGTCAAGCCTGTGAGATCTGAAAAATCAGGGAGATCTCGGCTCACGTGGGGGTGGAATGGGAAGAGGAATATTGCACACTCTGTTGTTGATAGGCCAGTGGAGGGGCCCAGGGGCCCTACAGCTGGGGCAGGAAGCAGCCTCCATGCCCTCGCTGCCAGTTGAATCCATTTTTTGGCACCCCCACCAGATCTCCCTCACTAGGTAGGCGAATAACCAGGCAGGTGATTCTTCAACCAAGCCAAAGCCCTGCCTTGGGAGCGCTTCCCTTCCTCAGCCTACATTCTGACCACAAGGTGGCAGGAATGGGAACTTGTATTACTAGGAGCCTTTTCCCCATGATATGGGTCTAGTCCCTATTATACAATGGGGGAAACTGAGGCACACAGAGCCAATGCAGAGGAATCGCAGTTAGAGGCAGAGCCGGAGTCCAGATGCTCTGCAAGGCCACCAGCATGGAAAAAGGGGGCTGCCCCGCTGCCTGGAGCCCGGTTCCTGGTGGGCCTCATGCCTGGGAGGGAAAAGGATACTGGGTCCCCAGGGCCCTGCTCTAGACTGGGTTCCCGACTTATATCCACCACCCCCGTGTTCTCAACACAGGGACCAAAGGGGCCTTTTGAAGTGAAAGGGTGATCATATCCTTCCTAGATCAGAGCAGAAGCCAGAGTCCTCCCCTCACCCCCCCAACCTTGGGACCTCCCAGTCCCCCCAGTTGCATCAACCCTGCCACCTTGCTATTCAAACAGGCCAGACATGGTGGCTCATGCCCATAATCCCAGCACTGAGTCTCTGGAGCCCAGGATTCTGAGACCAGCCTGGCTAATACAGTGAAACCCCATCTCTACTAAAAATACAAAAATTAGCTGGGTATGGTGGTGCATGCCTGTAATCCCAGGTACTTAGGAGTCTGAGGCAGCAGAATCACTTGAATTTGAGAGGCAGAGGTTGCAGTGAGCCGAGATCACACCACAGCACTCCAGCCTGGGTGACAGATAATGGGACTCCATCTCAAAAACAAACAGGCCAGGCACATCCCTCTATCACGCCTCTGTGCAGTGGTGCCCCCACCTGGAGCTCTGTTCCCACACTGGCCCCAAGGCTCTTGCTCGAACTGTACCTTCTCCTCAAAGCTGGCCCTGACCACACCATAGCATCCCCAGCCCACCATCTCACCAATGTTCCTTCTCTAGCATTTGCCACCTAATGTACGGCTCAGTGGTGGTAAATGATGGGTAGTGCGCCACACCCAGATGTGGCCGGCTTCTGCATGGACTGCAAGAAGGAAGGGCTTTTATGTGTTTAAAAGATCACAAAACAGGCCCGATGTGGCGGCTCATGCCTGTAATCCCAACACTTTGGAAGGCCAAGGGCGGTGCATTACCTAAGGTCAGGAGTTTGAGACGAGCCTCGAGTGGCAAAGCCCTGTCTCTACCAAAAATGCAAAAAATTAGGTGCAGTGGTACACACACCTGTAGTCCCAGCTACTCTGAAGGCTGAGCCAGGAGAATAGCTTGAAACCAGGAGGTAGAGGTTGCAATGAGCTGAGATCACACCACTGCACTCCAGCCTCGGAGACAGAGCAAGACTCCATCCCAAAAGAAAGATGATTCTAAAACAAAAGGAAATAAGCAGGCCATTCTGCTCTGTCACAAGAGGGTGACTCTCAGGCTCTTTGCAGGGAGTGGTGCAAAAATCATCTACCCTGCTGTAGATGATTTCTTGGGCTTTGTGTCTAAGTAAAATGAGCTTCCTGAAGGCAGGAGTCAGCCTCGCCTACTGCGCTCCTCCGCAGCAGCTCCTAAAATCCTGCCTGCGCTAGGACCATGCTCATGAGGTCTCTATGGAGTGAGGAAGAAACCCCAGCTTCCTCTCCTGTGAAATGGGGACTGAAGAAGCCTCTGTGCAGGGCGGTCAGTAGTCAGTGAGTCAGAGCTTGTCGAAGCATTCAGCATTGCACCTGACTTGTGGCAGGAACACCGGATGTACCACTCCCAACCCTGCGTTACCTGGCTGCGAGGTCATACAGGTCCAGCAGGGGTTTGCAGAGCCTCTTCAGTGCCCGTGAGAATGTGGCCTCAGCCCAGGACAGCATCTGGTGGGCCACCTGGAGAGGGAGGAGACAGTCAGAGCTGTCTCAGTCATCCTCAACTGCCAGCCACACCCCATCCTTGCTCTCACTCACCAGCTCCAGGGCGCCTTTCACGGCCCCCAGGGCCATCCTGATGGGCCTGGGACCCCCGTTGCCTGGCATTCCGGGCACCCAGGTCTGCAGCCACCACATGGCCTCCTCAGCCCGCTCCCGCCACACCTCCTCCAGGGGCCGCAGCGTCACCTCCAGGTAGGCGTCCTTCAGTGTGGCCAGGGGCCCTGTAATGGGCAGCCACCACCCACCATGAGGCCTCTGGGCAGCTCAGAGGCCCAGCCCAGGCCTGGAGGAGATAGGGCCTGTTCCTGGGATTAAGATGGTGGGGGAGAAGGAATAGAGCAGCAGGAACTGCAGATTGCAGGCGAGTTGTCACAGCAGACCCCAGCTGCCTCTGCATGGCCTGCTCATAGGTTGGGAACTTGGATTGGGGGAGGGTTCCCACCACTCCTGGAAGTCATACAAGGCTCTCTGCACCTGAACCATTTGTACAAACGTGGTTTATGCTGGACCCCTGCTTGCCTCCTAGGAGTCTGACAGTGTGCTCTGAGCCAAGCAGCACCTGCCAATGTGGCAGCCCCCACTAAACACCCTGGGTGACATAGTGCTGGGACAGCCAAGTGCATCCCGTGTGAAAGCACAGGGACTGGGAGAGGACACTGGGTGCTGGCCCTGGTTCCCCCTGGACTCCGCCCCGACACTCCTGCCTCCTCTCGCTGTAGTCAATCACAGTTGCCAACGGCACAGTGTGCGGAGTCCTGGAGCACTCTTCCAAATTCACTGCCCTGTGGGTGGCCATGGGACTCTGGCACAGCAGAGTGGATGCAGAGGTGACGTTCAACAGCCAGTCAGAGGGATGCCCACCCTGGTGCCGGGCAGGGTCTTAGGGGCTCTGTGCTGGGCCGGCATTAGCCCCGGATAGTGGAGAGGCCAGAATTTCCTAGTCCTGCCAGGAGGGCAGTTGCTGTGAGTGTTTAAAAGACCACACGGCCACAGTAAGCTCATCGTGGAACCAGAAAGAGACCTTCTGGCAGTGAGCTTCACAGAAACAAGGCTGTACACTCAAAAGCAGGAGAAAGACTGAAGAAACTGAGGCAGCAGGCATGAGGGATATTAGCTTGGAGACCTTATAAGAATGAGGCAGGGCCGGGCGCGGTGGCTCATGCCTATAATCCCAGCACTATGGGAGGCCGAGGCGGGTGGATCACGAGGTCAAGAGATCGAGACCATCCTGGTCAACAAGGCGAAAACCCGTCTCTACTAAAACTACAAAAAATTAGCTGGGCATGGTGGCGCGTGCCTGTAATCCCAGCTACTCAGGAGGCTGAGGCAGGAGAATTGCCTGAACCCAGGAGGCGGAGGTTGCGGTGAGCCGAGATCGCGCCATTG